GTAATATCTTTTCAATGTCTGAAAGTGCCTTAATACCTATAACTCATGAGGTGTATCGACTGTGCAGGTTCGCTCTCCCTTGATGCTCCAAGATTCCTCAGAGACGGTGAGGCAGATAGTATCACAGTTATAACATTATCCTCATTTTTTCAAATGATATCATTGAGGCTTAGAGATGTTAAGTAACCTGCCCAACCAGGAAGTGGCAGAATTGGGATTTGAACTGAACTTTGTCTATCAACAAATTTGTAATAACTTTCTACTATAATCAAAATGGCAAAGAGGTTGGCTTCTCCTCACATCCAACCGAAGTGGCTGGTTATAGCTGCCCAAAGTGCTGTGTCAAAAAGCCAAACTCAGTCCGACCAGTGTGGCTCAGCGGTTGAGTGTCAGCCTATGAACCAAGAGGTCACGGTTCGATTCCAGTCGAGGCACATGCCCAGGTTGTGGTCTTGGTCCCCAGTGAGGGGCATGCAGGAGGCAGCCAATCAGTGACTCTCTCTCATCATTGATGTTTCTATCTCTCTCTCCATCTCCCTTCCCCTCTGAAATCAAAAAAAATATAACAACAACAAAAAAAAAAACAGGCAAACTCAGGCTCAGCATGACAGGGAACCGTCCACAATGAAGGAACAGGGTCAGCGTGGGTCCAGCTATGGAGGAAGAGCACGCGGCCACCTGCTTGCCGTCCCCTGCCGCATGCTAACTTTCCTGAGCTAGGAGAGCATTTACTACCGGTTGCATTTACATTACATGTACAGGAGCATTTACGTTCTACAGCCCTTGGAGCAGGGAGCTTACCCTATAGCAGGTGAGCGTCAATATTTCCCGCCTGTAGCTGCATCGACACCCTCGGTGAGGCCCAGCAGAGACGGGCTCCCACAGCCTGCAACAGCCCACCAGGGGCTGTGAGCGAGCAGCCCCGCTCCGGACCAGCTGAGCGGCTTGGCTCGGTGACTGATTCCAAACTAACAGGCATGCAAAATACAGTGTGAAGCTTAAGGAAAACTGTTTGACCCAGAAGACTGAGCATCCATGTGAAAAATAAGTGGTAATGCTTTTCTGCACGGTGATAATACTTTTCACACGCACGACCTGGTACAGAGAAACCGAAAGCCGTGCGGAACGCACACCCTGCACGTGGTTACTCCTAAGGTTGTGCATCTCCTCTGGGGACCCCCCTCCCACCCCCATCATATGTAATAGTTCCTGATTTCCTATATCTCAAGATTCCTGGGAGGATCAAGGGACAAGGGACCAGCGTTATCTGATGCCCCACACCATTACCTGCTGCTGCCACCCCTACTCTGACAATTAGTGAATCGGAAAGGGAGAGAATTTCTGGCAGGGACTGCTGTCAATTACTGGAGACAAAATGACCAATTACCACTCTTCTCCAAGCCAGCTCTGCTCCCCTCCCCGGCCTCTCTCCCGGACCACCTCCTGCCTCAGGCCGGGAGTTCTGTTTCTGCCTCATCTCTTTACCATACCTCGGGATGGGGACGGGTCCAGGAACCCAGGCCAAGACCAGCAAATGTATCACCATGCTCATGACAGCAAGCTGCATGCGGAGCGAATTCTGCAGCCCCCACCCCCTCAGCTCCTCCCTCTGCCAAAACCCGGGGGCTGTGAGATGCCGCCGACTGCAGACTTATCTCCACATGAGGACTGGTCCTGTTGGCAAATGCAGTTAGGTATCAGCCATCGGGCTATTTTTAGAAGCTTGTTTGGGAAGATCTCAAAAGCAAAAATTGCCCCTTGGTGAGAGATGTTAGCCAATTCGCCGAAACAGAGCATCAGTAAACACATTGTAAACGTGCCGTTAGCAATATGGAGCGTCAGGAAGACGGCCTTTTGTCCCCCAGGAATGGCTCACTGCTCCCTGAGCAGGTAGGATACCCATGGCGTTTATACACCTTTCAATCCTGGTGGCCAAATCCTGTCTTAATTCACACGAGCAGCTCTTCCCAGGCTGGGGCTGTGGAGGTCCTTGACCCGGTCCTTCCAGAGGCGCTTCCCAGGGTCCGGCCGAGGGAGCCGTTATTCCAGCTGGAGCTGGAGGTCATGACAGGCCAGGCTGAGCACCCACTGGGGCAGTGCATGAGGCGGGGCATGTCGTCAGGGAGACCCAGGTCAGGGAGGCCCGTGGTGGGGAAGGGAGGGGTCAAGGAGGCGCCACAGGAGCAGGTCACCAGCAGTGTCACTGGGAGGAGGGTCCCAGGCTCCTGGGTGGCTCCCGCTGCCAGGCCCCTGGGCCAGGTCCCAGGAAGCAGGCCCGGCCCAGGGACCCTGGCTCTCCCCACTGCGGGCAGCAGAAAGCCCTGCTGGCCTGCGCTAAGCGAACAGATGAGTCTAAGTGTGTGCTCCATTGTCACAGCACCGTGGCCTTTTATTTGAAGAACTAGAGACCTAGTGCACGAAATTAATGCACTCGGGGGGGGTGGGGATCCCTCAGCCTGACCTGTGCCCTCTCGCACACAGTCCAGGAGCCCTGTGGGGAGTGGGCCTAAGCAGGCAGCCAGACATCCTCAGTGCTGCCATGGAGGCAGGAGAAACTCCTGCCACCACCGCTACACTCACCAGCCATGAGCCCAGCTTCTGGCTGAGCGGCGCTCCCCCTGTGGGATCTGACTGAAACTGGCTCTCCGACATCCCCCAAGGGGTCTTGGATTGTGAGAGGGAGCAGACCAGGCCGAGGGACTCCACCAGTGCATGATAGGGGCCGGGGAGGGACATGGGAGGTTGGCCACCAGGGGAGGGACCACGGAAGGGCTTCAGGGCATGTCCAGCCTGTCTCACTCAGTCCCGATCGGCCAGACCCCAGCAGCAAGCTAACCTACAGGTCAGAGCATCTACCCCCTGGTGGTCAGTGCACATCATAGCAAGTGGTTGAGAGGCCTTATCATATCATTATCATATTACGCTTTGATTGGTTGAATGGCCAACCGGTCGACTGGACACTTAGGATATTAGGCTTTTATTATATAGGATGTGTGTGCTGTGCTTTAAAATTCAACTCAGTGATATTGATTCAGCTGGAGTCTCAGCCCAGCAGCACCCCTCACCCCAACTTCTTCACTCTGCTGATGAAGACAGTGATGGTCGTGTCCCTCGGGTGGGGGGTGGGTGCAGGGGGAGGTCCCATCTGGGGCTGGGGCTGGGGCTGGGGCTGGGGCTGGCCTGGGGTTCAGGCCATGTTCCTGTTGGCTCCAGGCCCTCCCAGTGCTCATCCTTGAGCCGGGTGTCCACATCCCCAGCTCCCTCTCAGCACCCACCTTCCCCACTGGGAATTGGGGCAATCATGGCTACACCCCTGGCTTCCTCTCTGTGAAGATGCAGACTGACACAGTGCACGCCTGGGCCCAGCTGCACAACAGCCTCCGAGAGGGAGCGAAGGAGCTGGTTTAACCCAGAAAGGACACGTCTAAGTGGAGGAATCCTAGCACCCTGAGGGGTGGAGGGCTCTCACTGCCGACGAGAGAGGATCCTTTCTCTGCTCTTCCAGAGAACTGACCGGCCAGAGTCTGAGAGTACAAGGAAGCAGGTGTCGACGCCACCTCAGTAATTCCTTATGCTACATCATCAGTGGGACAGCCAGGACATATACAAGTGGGTGGGGAAGTGGCCATTTCATTCTGTAGAAGGCATTCCTAAAGGTGGTGGGAAGCTAAACGGAATGACCTCTGACCCAGTCATGACGTTCTAGGAGTGCCCGAGAGCTGTGAGTGAGCAGCAAGGCCTCCTGTGACCGCTTCATTGACTGCAGTTCAGCCGCAGCCTCTGAGGGGTCGAATGCACTTTGTGTCAAGAAAGAAATACATGAGACAAGGGAGCAATGAGGTTCCCAGGCTCCCTGGGAGTCCCCCAGAGGCCTGACCACATCTCCCAATGGGACAGGCACTGTAGACAGACTGACATTTTCACTGGCGTGCTGAGCCCTCGCACATAAGCCTCAGGGCTGTGGCTTCCCCCACCTCGGGCACAGACTCCTAGATCTTTAGAGACGGAGGGAACCTGCGGGCATGTTGTCCCAACCCTTGCCCAGGGCAGGCGTTCTCACGCCAACCACCCAGCACGGTCACCCAGCTTCTGCCTGAGCAGGAAGAGGCTCGGCCAGCAGGTTAGTCCATTTTGAAACCACTTAATCCGTGTTGAGACAGTCCTCTTTATGAGCTGTTTCTTCCTCATATGGAGCCCATGTCTGCCTTCAGTCAGCGTGACTTTTGCCCTCAGCAGTTGGACAAAAACAAATGTTTTCTCATCCCCTTGACAATGTTTAGATTTTTTAAGACAGCGGTTATCTCTGCGCCTCCTCTCCCTCCAAGTATTTTCCTCCCCATCCAGATGCCTCGGGTCACCTCAGATAGTCCTTGTATGGCACAGTTTCAGACCCCTCACCATCCCAGTTACCATCTTCTAAATATTTTCTATTTTACTAATGTTCCTTATAGAGTTGCTCCTAGAACAAATACCAACTGTGGTCTGATGACTGCTATCACCTCCTTTGATCTACACACTATACTTTTATTAATACAACCTAGAATTATATGTGCTTCATACCAAATGGTCAACTGTTGTGTTTATCTTAAGATGTTGATTAACCAAAACCGCCATCTTTTTCTTTTGACACAATTTCATGTAGTTTCAAGAACTAAGTGGATTTAAAACTGGCCCTGTAAGTTATTAAAACATCAAACCCTGCCTCCCTGTGTAAGAGATCAGAGCCCTAGCAAAGATTGTCAGTGACAGACTAAGTAGTTGACCCCCAAAATGATTGGCTCCAAAGGTGAAATGTGTATTGGCAGTGATGTGCCAGGGCCCCAACCTTTGCAGCCTCTTCTTCCAACAAAATTCGGGCAGAGAAGGGCTCTTCTTGGAAGCTGCGCCTGCTTTTGTCTCCCTTCCTCTGCCTTTCTTTTCAGCTTGCCCCATGCTCCTGAGGCCACCTTCCTCCCAGCCCCTGGGAACTCACTAGCGGTTTCCCTTTGTGTCTCCGACAGGTCACCTGAAGGAAGCAATCACCCAGCGGCATCTGCAGCAAGCAGCTCTAGGTGAGTACAGAGTGGAGGCTGCGGGAGGGAGGTGAAGGTTACACCAGCTCACCTGCCTGGAGCCCCACCCTCAGCTAACACATAACCCGCCCAAACCCTCGGGAAGCGGAGGGAAAGGTCTGCTGTCAGTGCAGCTTCCTGCGGACGCCGGGGACCAGTTTCCCCCACCTGTGTGCTTGCTCCCAGCCTCAGCACCAGGCACCCCACCCTCCCAGCTGCTGCCTCATCCTCCTGACCTTGTCCACCCCACACCCCAAACTAAATTCACCCCATATCCCAGCCCCTCAGAGTCCTACTCTGAGCTTCCTAGATCCACTGCTAACCAGTCCAACAGTGAGGACTGGCGGTTAAAGCAGCCTCCGTGCCCGTCTCCTTCCATCCTCACCACCGTCCAAAAGGTAAGTGCACTTTCCGTGTGAAGGCGATCCAATGACTTCCCAAGGTCACAGGGCTTCTCAGTGTGAAACTCGGACTCGGACCCAGTTCTCTGAGCCCGCACTTGGTGCTTTTAGCCCCACGCTGCTTTTGCCCACAACCGTGGCATACGCACTTCTGCACATTGATAATGCGAACACTAAACAAGCACCGTGACATTCTAACTTGAAGGCCTTTGGCGCCTTTTAAGCAGCGACACCTGCAGAAAATGCTCCCTTCTGACCTGTGCCCCGAGGAAGTGCGCTGGGAGGAGCGTGCAGCCCCAGGGAGGCTGATGGGCAGGCACCTGGGCAGGGCCAGCTTGCTCCTCTGCAGCCTGGGACCAAGCACACATGCAGCTTCGGTTAAATATGCAATGTGTTTATTTCAAACAAAGAGTTTGTCCAAGGTGGCCTGGCCCTGGAGTGGCCCGGACATGAGAAATCCAGCAGCGGGGACTCCTAGCAGAGAATGACCCCTGTGACTTAGGAACTTGATCATTAGGAAGGCTGGTTGTTTGGTTGCAGTAATAATAATGACCGTTTCAACAGCTGCTGATTACATCAGAAATAAAGAGCAGGGAGGCCCGGGACACACTGGCCAGAGCTTGGCCCCAGGACTGAGGGCAGGTCAGCCTGCCAGGCCTGCCTCCTGTATGTGCCTCTGATGGTGATGGTTAGCGGGGCTGGTGACTGTCGTGAGCTGAGCGGCGCCGTGTGGAGGAGACTGACTGGTGAAGGGAGGCCAGGCCCAGGGACGTCAGAGAGAGCGCCGCCGCCCATGTCAGAAGAGCGCGTGCTACCCTTTCAGGAACAGCTGGTGTTAAAAGTTAATTATATACAATTAAGTAAATTACATTGAAAAAAACAAAGGTAACAAATACAGTGGGGCCTTGACTTACGAATGTCCCAACTAACGAGTTTTTCCAGATACGAGCCGTCTCTCGGCCGATTTTTTGCTTCGAGTTGCGAGCTAAAATTCGGGTTACGAGCCAGCTTCAGATACCCCACTGCTACTTGGCGCAGCGAACATCACAGTGAACGCCACAACATCAGCCCAGCATCACATGTCTCACTCGTTCACTGTTGATTTGACATACGAGTAATTTGAGTTACGAGCTCCGTCACGGAACGAATTAAACTCGTAAGTCAAGGCCCCATTGTACTCAAAATCCACCCCTTCCTGAATAATTTACCACATTTTACTGTCATCTCTGCGCTCAAGGTAATTGACATCGCCGGGACTGTCTCATGGAGATGGATTTGATGGTGGGGCTCCCCGTGTGTCTCCTTAGGCCACGATCAGGGCGTGGCCCAGGCAGCTTGAGGTCAGCCTGGTGGGAGCGTTTACACCAAGGAACTGACACATGTTATAAATGGAGCCCGTGGTTACACATCTACCATCACACCACTGGCACAGACAAGTGTCCGTTGAGAGGCCAGCTTCTACACATGTGTGTGTGTGCGTGCGTGTGTGTATGTGTGTGTGTGCGCATGCATGCGTGTGCGTGTGTGTGTGTATGCGCGCGTGTGCTCTCATGATGACTTCTACCCGCTTCCTGGCTGAAAGTCCATGACGGCCCTCCTTCATGGCCTGCCTCCCACGGAACCCTGTCCTTTATAAAGTCAGTGGGCAAGGAAACCAAGGGAGACAGAGCGGGGCAGGCGAGGCCGGGCCCAGCAGCCCCCCCGATGCGACAGCCTGGGTCCGAGGGGGTCTCTGGGAGACACATCAATGGCCAGTTCTAAGAATGTCACGTACAAGCAAAAGTTACTGGTGGACTTAGTGCGGGGCCCACTCCCGCCCACTGCTTCAGGAAACAATGAAACAATGTTCTTTTTAAATGAAGCAGCATTTGGGAACGGTTCTGCTTGAACTAGATTCAGCGAGCGCCTGAATTCCCTGTGTTCCCCCCACTGTGAGGTCCTGGCTTCAATGGCACAGCATTGTCATCATGCAGATGACACAATCAGCAGACCTTCTCCGTTCTTCACCACGAGCCAGGCATGACTCTACAAGGAAACCAAGGGAGACAGAGCGGGGCAGGCGAGGCCGGGCCCAGCAGCCCCCCCGATGCGACAGCCTGGGTCCGAGGGGGTCTCTGGGAGACACATCAATGGCCAGTTCTAAGAATGTCACGTACAAGCAAAAGTTACTGGTGAACTTAGTGCGGGGCCCACTCCCGCCCACTGCTTCAGGAAACAATGAAACAATGTTCTTTTTAAATTAAGCAGCATTTGGGAACGATTCTACTAGAACTAGATTCAGCGAGCGCTTGAATTCCCTGTGTTCCCCCCACTTTGAGGTCCTGGCTTCAATGGCACAGCATTTTCATCATGCAGATGACACAATCAGCAGACGTGTCTTGGTTCTTCACCACGAGCCAGGCATGACTCTAAGCTCTTTGCCTGTGTTTCCTCCTGTGATGCTTCTAAAACACCCACGAGCCGATACGACTGTTGCCCTGGCTTTACCGTTAAAGCTCAAAGGGGTTACGCACACGTGCTTAATGTCGCTCAGCTAAGGATGCAAACACGACTGCGCTGCCCTCACCCTTGCCAGGCGGGCATCGCGGGTCCACAGAGGGCAGAGGTCCGATGCCTGCCCTAGCCAGCGGGAGGGGCCACATGCATAGAGAAAACTCTATCTAATTTCAGATTTAGACACATATGTATTGTGCCATTGTGTCCTCTTCCCACTGCAGTCCCCGGAGCAGTTCAACCGTGACCTGCCCCCGGTCACCACGGCAGCTTTGTCCTCCAGCCCCACACACCTCTGCGAGAGCACCAGCCCTGTTTTGTAATTACCCGTTTCCATCGCTATTCTCCACGCTGAAACGTGGGCTCCCAGAAAGTCGGGTGAGTCTCTGTACCCCTAGCAGCCAGCACGGGCAATAAATAGGCCCAATCAGTGCTTCCCCAGATGGCTTCCAGACCCACACATCTTGCAAAAGCATAATGAGACATTGGAACATAAAATAAAATAAGTCCATTAAAAGCAGTGGAAGGAGTAAGTGCTTTTGGACCCCACAGCTGAGCAGATTATAACACACAGGCGATAAATTCCTCTCTCCCTTATCTAGCCGCGAGGCAGAGAGAGAAGCGCCCTGAGAGCCAGTTTCTTTCCTGACAACAGGAAGCACGCTCACTAATTTACCCGCAAAAATAGAATCTCTCCCTGGAACCAAACACAGCCAGGACGTGTCGCACAGACCCTTGTGTGAAGGACAGAGTGGCTTCGTGAGCGACGTCTCCCACTGCAGCTCTACAAAACGCACGAAATGCTGTTCAAGCACAGTTCTTAGACTGACCCTCCGTAATAGCGCGAGCAGACACTGCAGCTCAGCTCAGGAAAGTGTGGGTGTGCGCGGCCGAGGTCCTGCGCCAGGCACCTGCTTGGCCCACAGAGCGGGATGGAGCGGGGGCCACCCCTGAGCGCCGGCTCCTCCGTGTCTCTCCTCAGCAGTATCTGACCAGGGACTGGCTCTCGCTCAGCTGCCCTCAAAGTCCTCCCAAGTGCCTGTGACTAAAGTGTAGGAGACACAGGCCCTGCTGAGCGGCTGTACAATGTGTCAGGCGAGAGGGACTGGCCATCCGGGCTTCGGGAGGGAACTCACCTGAGGATGTAGCCTGGAGGTCACTGAGACCACGGCCTGGGCTGAGCTTAGAGAAGGGACAGGCCTTAGAACCCAAGTGGAGAGGGCAGGGAGGGGTTGTTGTGGGTGTGTGTGGGGTGTATGTGTGGTATGTGTGGGGTGTGTGACATGTGTATGGTATGCATGATGTGTGTGGCCTGTGTAGTATGTGTAGTGTGTGCATGGTATGTGTGGTTATGTGTGTATGGTGTATATGTGTGTGGTGTGTGTGGTATGTGTGCTGTGTGTGGTATGGAGGTATATGTGGTATGTGTGTGGCATGGGTGTGGTATCTGTGGGTATGTGTTGTGTATGTGTGTGTCATGTGTGTTGTATGTTTCTGTGTGTGGAGGGGGAGTAGGATGACTTTTTGGGGAGTGGATTTGAAGCAGGGGGGGTGCTGAAAGGGTGAGTTGAGGGGTTCAGCGAGGACCTTGGACCTGAGCCTTTACCTTTCGGCCAGCTGAGCCACTGAGCATTCGCCAGCAAGGAGGTCTGGGTCAGGGGTCGTTGGGAAAGAGAGAACCCCAGGCAGTTGCCGAGTTCCCATCACTGGCTAACTCCTGAGGAATGACAAATCCGTCTTCCGCCCTGACCACTGCCCCAGCCTTCCCCTGCCCCTGCCCCGCTGTCCCCTGGGCTGTTCCCTGGGCACACACACTCCCAGCCCAGCCAGGAGGGCCTGGCCAGCTCTCAATTAATCTGCTGCAGGCACACAGGTCTGAGGCTGCCCCGAGAGTCCCACACTGGCCACACGCCTGCCCGCCTGGCCTCGCCCTGGGGGCTGGGTGGTCAGTCCGTGATTTTGTCTGTGGAAGAAAGAAGTGGGGGATCCTGCGCCTGAGAAGCTCAGCCCTCATTGGATGACACCACACCTCACCTGTCTCCACAGTTATCCCTGCCCCAACTTCTGTGAAAGCATGACCTGCTGGAACATTCCGTCGCCTCTGTT